ACATTTTTGTGACATATAGCTCTTTTTTTATTTTAAGGAGAAAAAAACAATAGCCAAAATAACAACAATGAAAACAAAAACAAAACAGTATAAAAACAATACAGGATTTCAAAACAAGATGATAGGAATTAACAGTGATATTACATATTGTCATCTTCAACAAAGTTGCTCAGATTACCATATGTAAGAATGTAAGATAGATCAATTAAAGACCATAACAATTAATTTAAAAAAATTAGAAAGGAAAAAGAGCTTCATTAAACAAAATGTTAGGAATTCAGCAATGCTTGTTATATTGCATATTGTCTTCAAATTAGTTAATCAGTTATCTCTATCTAATACATAAGAAGCTTTTACCTAACTCATCACTGACCTTTAATGGGATGTCACTGAAGAAATTTGTGACATTGTCTGGACTGCTTAATGCCCAGGCATCTATACATATAGTGGCACATATATAGCAGATATATCACATAAGTTTTTGTTATTATTACTGACTGGTGATGTTATGTCGGCTTGGCATGAACCTCCCATCACAATTAATTGGAGCACAAAAGAAAAGCAAATGTCTGAATCTGAAAGAAAAGGCCTATCATCATAAAGAATCCCAGTTTTACATTTTAGAAGATGGTACACCTGGAAGGCATGAATACATTTAATACAGTGTGAGATTAACAATGAATTGTCATACTCATGTGGAAAACCTTTGTTTCTTAATTTAGTTACGTAGCAAGAGCATTTTTTGTAAGAAAAACCTTATTATTTTTAGAAAACCTTTTGCTGATTACCAGTTTATTGGGAGTGTTTCCCAAAAGGCTATGGAGATTGTGGGTGCTTCCCATTGATGAACTAGGACTGGATAATTATTCAGGCAGCTGCTTCCTTACTCATCAATTGGAGTCCTGTCCAATAGTCTCTCCATACTCCAAGGGATTTTTGTTTATTTATCTTAATAATTTTTTGATGACTTATGAAAACCTGATCACAACATTTAACACATTTTTTAATGAGAGACTCTCAAATCATAATACGTAACAATATACACTACATTTACACAACCAATTTTAGCATCATTTTGATCAGGTGGCAGCCCAGGTGGAAGCATATCAGACAAATGCTTCAAAAATGCAAAACGAAAGCAAAGAAAACAAAAAAAATTGTTGAGCTCAAACAAAAATAGCTGATAAGACAGATATATGGACAATCAGCTTACACACTCAGAGTGCACTCCAATATATTTTTTGGCCAAATCAAATTATAATAACATACGTTTAGAAGTTTGTAATTATAAATAGACTAGTCAGAATCTTTTGTAGGTCAGTTAGCAGAGATCTCTTAGAAGAAAATTTGGAAGAAATACAATCTTTTATCTATAATTAATATATAATTTTGTATTTTATTTTTTCTTAAGAATACTGTCAGTTTTCATGACCCTTCCTTTCATGGAGCCTCCAGCTTACTTGTCTCCATACATTGTCACCTACTGACTTGCTTTTCCCAATTTTTGGTTATCATCTCCTGGGCATCCTGGGTCAATTTCTTTAATTGACCCCAAGTTGGGTCTAGCCACAGGACTGAGCATCAGCTTCTTGAGAGGTAGAACCTCTTCCTTCTCTAGGTCTGGGTCCATGATACAGCCATATAGCACACTCTGGCACCCAGATAGGCCATTCATCATTCTCTGAAAAGACACAAGAATAGCCTCCAAATGTGTACTGGAATGGGTCCCTTCCATTGTCCCGTACGAAGACCTTTCCAAAGGACCCTTCTCAGCCTCTTTTCCTTTATATGACTGAATTGTCTTTCTGCTGCTGTAGTCCCATCCTTAGTAGGATTTAAAAAGTTAATAGTATACAATGCAAAGTGGTCTATTGTGAGGTATGAATTTTGTAGGGAAGGATTCTGCTTTTTGCTTTTGTATTTGAATTTTGAGTGTATGGTGAGCATGTTCAACAATTCCTTGACCTTGAGGGTTATAAGGAATTCCTGTGGCAAGGGAAATGTGAAAACTTCTATAAAACATTTGGAATGCAGCATGTATATAAGCTGGGCCATTGTCTGTCTTAAGTGCCCATGGGCAACCAAGGGTGCTGAAGGCATCCAGGCAATGAGTGTTGACATATTTAGCCACTTCACCGGTATAGGCAGAAGCAAAAATCGTGAGGAAGTATCCACTGAAATGTGGAGCCAGCACAGAGAGCCAAACTCAGGATGTGAGTGCCATCCATTTGCCAGAGATGACTAGGGAGTAACATTTTGGGATTAACCCCCATAGGGAGTACGAGAATTATGTATGAGGAACATGGTTTAATGATTTGTCAAGCCTGTTCCTGAGTTAAAAGGAACTGTGCACAATGCAGAAGCGTTCTGGTGGAAGGTGGCATGGGAGGCAGAAGCCTGTTGAATGGGATCTGAGGGAGCAACAGTGGAAATAGCAGGCAATCTGTCTATGGTAGCATTTCCCTCAGTGAGAGGCCCCTGCAGTTGGGAATGGGAACATAAATGATGATAAAATGGAACATGGTGCGACTGAATGGCATACTGGAGAGTGTGAAATAAATGGAAAAGATCTTCCTGGTTAGTGTAAATGGCAGTTTCAATGTAGTGCATCACACTGTGAACATAAACACTGTCTGAAAAGAGGAGAAAGCATGTTTAAGTCCGAGGGATTGTTTATTGTGGAAGAGAAATTTTTTTGATCTGTGTGCAAATCAAGCCACCCACAAAGCCAGCTCAGCACAGCACAGCACCATGGGAGGGTGGGACGTGAGCTGAGCAGAGAGAGGGCCCTGCACTCTGGCCCTAGGTGGGCACAGCTGGGATGCCCCCTCTACCCCCAGGCCCACCAGCCACACCCGTGACCACTTGCACCCTGTGCTCAGCATCACTGCCACAGGACTGAGCATCAGCTTCTTGTGAGGTGGAACCTACTCCTCTGGGTCTGGGTCTGTGATACAGGCGGACAGCACATTCTGGCACCCAGCTCTCAGAGTTCCCAGGATGGGGATGGTGAGAGAATGGAGAAAAAAGGATGAGAGTCAGAATACAGAAAACTGAGGCCAGGTGGAGCCCTCTCTCCTGATGGAGAAGAAGGGAGAAGGGGGGAAGGCCTCAGCGGCTGCAGTGCATTTATTTATACACCTAGGAGGTTGAATGTCACATGAAGCCCCTCCCCCAATAGCTTATCCACATGGCTTCCTCAGACGCTGTGCTCTTGAGGCTGGCCTTGCTCTGCCTCGAAGGGTTTGCTTTGATCTCCAGCTTAAGCTGCTCCACACAGCTAGATGGTCTCTCCTCCCTCTGGGACCTCACTATGTTGTATCTTTCCTGTGGTTCTAGGCCTAGAACAGTGTATCTCCCTTTCTTCCCCCCGCCCCATATTAATATGAAGTGGCTAGTAGAATAATTGAAAGTCATTGGAACTAAAACTCAAATATGAGAGTTTGAACATCGTCTAGAATCTAGTTAAAAATAGAAAAATACAGTTTCTTAGTTCTTAGTAGTTTTTTATAAGACATTTTTACAACCTCCCATACCGGTTTGGTCTTTAAAACATTGTACATGGTATTGGAGGTGCAGCTCAGTGGCAGAGCACTTGCCCAGCGTGCACAAGACCCCGAGATTGACCCAGCACCACCAAGAGGAGAAGACAGAAGAAGAATTTGTATGCAGCCTGTCTCCTTAAAAACAGTGCGTTTCTAGTAGACAGGTGCAGTTGCAGAAAACCTGCTGCTAGAATCATAATGTTTTGCTTTGAGACTCATTTTCTCTGCTTCTCAGTTGTCTGCAGGAAGAGCTAGCCAGGCTGCGTGATGGGAGCAACAGTTTGAGACTGACCACACTAGGGTAGCACTTGTGAGAAGAGTGTCCTGTATATGTTCACAGTGCTATGTTTTACAGCACAATTCTCTGCTTACTAGTTGGAGGATGAGAAAATACTTAATATTGTATCTCTGTTAGGACATTGAACCTAGGGTCTCCCATATTACGCAGGCACTGCTGGGCTACACCTGTCACCGTTGGGCTGTGGAAAACCTGTGCTTGTAGATATTCTTGTAGATCACTCTTTTCTTTTTTGGTTTTTGAGACAAGGTCTCGCTATGTAGCTGAAGTTGGCCTTAAACTCTCAGTCCTCCTGCCTCAGCCTCCCAAGTGCTGGGATTGCAGGCATGCAGTGGTCACTTCCTTGTGGAAAATGGGATGTTTCTCATCAAGGCAAAAATTTCAGCTTTTAATGTTGATATCTCTGTGACTTACACACTTGATGATTGAATACTGGTCTGCAGGGTGGGCTTCTTGGACCCATGGTGGTTGGCAGGGCTTCCTAAGGAAGTCACAGTACAACACCACGTCTGGGCTGCTTCAGGCAACATGCATGTGATGTTTCAGAGTCCCAGGGCTGGAAGTCTGGTCCCAGGCTGTCACAGGCCCTTGCTGCTTCTCAGGCTCTGAGTAGAAGCCAACCCTCCTTTCCCATCTCGATTATATCTGCAAAGAGCCTGTTTGCAAGTGAGGCCACATTTTGAGGTACCAGGGGTTAGGACTTCAATAGAAGTATACTTTTAGGGGGCTATTCATGCCATACGAGATGCAGTTGTATACCCATTTGTTCCTACACGGAGGTAAAGTGTCTGAATTTTATTGTTTTGCTTTTTTGAGACAAGGTCTCACTATGTGGTTCATTCTAGAACACAGCTCAAGGGCAGTAATGTTATGCAGCCCTCCTTTCGCCCTCTCTCCGGGCCAAGGCTTAAACGGGGTGGGCCCTGTGCACACCTCCCAGGGTGCAGGCGGCGCTGGGTCGCTCTGTGCTGTGCTTGGTGTTGCAGGTGAGTGCCTGTGTCACTGCCTGTCCTAGCAGAACTTGCAGAAGGTGTCACGTTGGAAGGTACTTTGCTGTGACCTTATGTTTTCTGTGTACTTTGCCAGTCTTAGAGAAAAAGTTACATGCTCTTTCTAAAGGAAGAAAATAATGACTTTTTTGTTTTTTCTGCCTTTAGTTCCATGTCTCCCAGCACCCAATATAATGTGTAAGGATTCCAGTGGCAATGAAACACATTTTACCGGAAAGGAAGTTGGTTTTTACAAGCCCGTACCTTGCCGGAATGTGTAAGTACATGACTGAAACTTAAAACTTCAGATTACTCGCCCATATGGTGGCCGCATTTCATAGAGTGAAGAGATAGTTTATGGAGGAGACCCTGGAAGTGCGCCATCCTCGCCTTGCTGGTGTCTGTCAGGGAGCTCTGTGCTGCCCGCTCCAGTCCTAGGGTCCCTGAAAGCCATTCGGCCAACAGATGGCAGGGAGGAGCCCGCTGGAGGAGAGCTGAGAGCCAGACTGGGAAAGGCGGTCTCCTCTGCCTTCTCCGCTGTCCTCACTCTGCAGGCCAGACTGCAGGGCCAGCTGGGAGATGCAGCTCAGCCATTTATCTACTTGAAAACAGAACTAGTTTGGTAACTAACTAGACCATCCCTGCTGTACCACTGGTTTCCAGATCATTGTTTAGTGTGAGTCACCTCCATGGATGATTGCTTTTCAGATTTCATTCTCTTTCTCAGCCAAACCTTTTGTTCTGCTTTGCTTGGCTTTTGTTGTTGTTACTGGTTTGAGACCAGGTCTACTGTGTAGTCTAGGCTGAACTTACTGTGATCCTGTGAGCAGGCTCCGCTACCCCCTCAATTTAGTAGAAATCCTCAGCTTGCACTTCCCATGAGCCTTCACCCACGGTTGGCACGGCTGGCCTTGCTGTCCTCCTCAGTGCCACCTTCACCTGACTCCAGGATGCCCTGCTCTGCTGTTTGATTTTGTCTTCACTCTTTGCTTCTTGGTCTCCTTTCTGGTTTCTTTTCTGCTCCAGGATTGCTTCGTGTGTGAGAGCTTCGGGGCCCAGGCCTTTAGATCACTCCTTCTGTGTGCACTCACAGTGCATGCACATGGCCCTCAGTGTGTCCTCTGTGTCTGCAGCTGTGTCCTCTAGTCTAGACTTCTCTCCATAACTCCAGACTTGTAAATCCAGCTGCTTTTTGGATGAGTCTACTTGGCTGTCTGATAAACACCTTAGCCTCACATATCCAAAACTCAAATCTTGATTTTCCTTCCAAGATCTCTGCATTCTCACCTTTCCCCAACTCACTAATGCTGGCTTCATCCTTCTAGGTGTTAAGGGTGAAGTCCTCAGTGTTTCTCTTCCTGTTTTCCCTTTTCATACCCTTAAATATGCCACGGAGGAGGATCACTGCAAGTCCAGGGCCAGCCTGGGCTATATAGTGAGCCGCTATCACAAATAAACAAACAGAAACAAAAGCAAAACAGACCAGGAAATCTAGGTAGCTGTGCTTGAGAGTATTATATATCTGGAATCTGATCACTTCTCACATTCTTTACCTGTTGCTCTGGGTCAGACTCCTGTCACTGTGACAGTTTGAGTTTGCTCAGCTTACAGTCCTCCCTCCTGGTTGGTCCTTGTCATGGTGCCTGTCACGGTCCCTGAGCTAGGCCATGTAGACTCCCACACTGTTGGTTATGGGCATGGCTGCCGCACTTAATGCAGCCTATGTAACATTAGCAGGTGTGAGACAAACAGAAGCTCAAGTGTGGGGCCGCACTTCCTTCTCCTTTGGTGCTATGTTTTGGAAAGAACTGGCCTCAAGTAGGTACTCCACTGTGAGTTTTGGGCTTAGAAAACCCAGAATCTGCGGGCTCAGCCTGTCACATAGTCTCCAGCCAGAGCTGAGCACAGGCTGTCTGTGGTCCATACAGGTGAGGGTTGTGCTTCCTGGCGTAAGCCACCAAGTTTTGGGGTGGTTGTTATATGACATTATAGTGGCAGCAGTTGACAAATGCTCACTTAGGGTCTATAATTTTCAGCATAGCAGCTGGAGTGATTAGTTCACAATGTAAACCAGATTAGGTTGCATCTTTACTTTAGATCCTGTAGTAGCTTCCCATTTCTCAGAATAACAGGCAGTGTATTTATACTGGGACACAAGGGACATCTGCTTCCTTCACTTCCCCTTCCTGTGATCCCCACCTCCTAATGGTCTTTCTTCTTTTCTGACCCTGCTGCTGCCTATGTAGGCCTCAGGTCTGCAGGGTACTGGTTTGTTTATGCCTGGGACGCTCCACCCTGCGAGGTTTGGCCAGGTGAAACTCATGTTCCCCCCTGGTTCTTTGCTCCAATGTCACCTTCTCTGAAGTTTCATCTTACCACTCCATTGCAGTTCCCCTTAGCATTGTTGATTTCCTACGCACCTTGGCATTCTGGATCCTTACTTATGCTGGCATTCTAGACTCCTTACACACCCTGGCATTCTGAACTCCTTACTTGCCCTGGCATTCTGGATTTCCTGTATACCCTAGCATCTAGATTCCCTACATATCTTGCCATTCTGGATTTCTTACACACTCTGGCATTCTGAATCCCCTACTCAGTGATATGAGCCAATTAACAAAGAATAGTAGTTCACAATTTTGTTTTCTAAAGTGGCAATACATGAACATGATTTTGATTTTTCTCCTGCACAGAAATGGCTACTCATACAAAGTGGCGGTTGCACTGTCCCTTTTTCTTGGATGGCTGGGAGCAGACCGGTTTTACCTTGGGTACCCTGCCTTGGGTGAGTATGTGTCAGCAGAAAAATATACAAGCCTTGTGAAGCTGTATTCTAAGTGTGTTCTTACAGACTGCGTCCTGTAAGCTCTGTGTCATTGGAATGGGTAGTTGACCTCCTGCTCTGCATCTGGCTTAAGTGAAAAATAACAAGTTCTCCTGTGCATTCTCCTGTAGGAAAACACCCAGGTAGTGTGGGCATTGGCTGAAAGCACCAGGCTGCAGCCCTGACACAAGGCAGGTGTTCACATGCGCATGTCCTCTTGTCTTTTTTTTTTTTTTTTGGTTTTGGTTTTTCTCTGGTACTGGGAACCGAACTCACGACCTTGCGCTTGCCAGGCAGGCGCTTTGCCGCTGAGCTAAATCCCCAGCCCCTGTCCTCTTGTCTTCCCCTCCCCTCCTCCCCTTCCCTCCTCTCTGAGCCTCTGCCCTGCAGCCCTAGGATGGAGATTCTAGCGATGAGCACGAGCAGGGCCCTCTGGGTGCCTCCCTGCTCAGCCGTCATGCTTGTTGTCCTTGCCAGTCCTGGGAGGCCTCACAAGTGACTGGAGCTTTTATTAAGTACTATTTCCTTTTAAAAATATTTTATTTTTACTAGTGCGCAGGTGTGCTACCTAATGATGACGTTTTTCATGCACGTAGCTTGCTTCATTCTTTTTACGTCTCCTTCCCACCCTTCCCTTCCGAACAGTCCCTTCAGATTCCTGCCCTGCTTGAGCCTCATGACCCTGCTCATCATCCTCTTCAGTCCCCTAACAGGTAGGGAAACTGTCCCCTGAGAGACTAAGTGTGGACGTCTTGCTGTCACTTGTGACACACTTGGTACCATCTTTGTCCCATGGAGACGGAAACCATCCTGGGATCAGAGATTCACTGAGGGCCACTTAGCTTATGACCTGAATTTGCCACTTTCTCATTTTGTCTCTGGTGGCACTCAGAGTTGAACCAGGGCCTCATACGTGCTAGATGAGCACTCTGCCCTGAGCTGTGTCCCTGGGCCCAAGACCTCAGTTTGAGCCCTCTTCACTGCTGTCCTTCAGCTCTCTGGCAGCCTTCGCAGAGCAGTGTGAGGACTGGCGCTGTGCTTTCCCTTGGCAGAGCTGACCTTGCTTCTCCTGTGCTGCTGCCCACCAGAGATGGCAGGGGTCCCTGGGCTTGGGGAGGGTTCCTCAGAGTCAGCCTGCAACTCAGAGCTGCGAGTTTCTAAGTCAAAACCAAACTTTAAAATTCTGTGTTCATGAATTTATTCAGTGAAGCATTTGCTCAGAAGAGATGATAGAGATTGCAGTGTATATGTACTAAAGAAAATAAACAGGAAACAGAGGCCGAGCACACACCTGTAGTCTCCGTGCTCTGGGAGGCAGAGTACACCAGTCAGGGCTTACCAGGGTGGCAGGGTTACTATAATAATGCATGTATGGTTTATGAGGTAGGCTGCAGTGGTCTGCAGAGTCAGGTGTGGGAGGGTGCAGAAGGGCTGTCCGTGCTCTGGAGACCAGAGGGTCCAGTCAGGTAGGAGCCCAGGAGCTCAGCGCAGTCCTGTTGGAAGCCCAAGGGTCTGTGTTGGAAGGCTGAAGAGTGTGTGCTGGAAGCCAGGCGTGGAAGTCCAAGGCAGAAGTGAAGGCTGGAGCTCCTCCGAAGAAAGAGAAGTGGACCTTCCTTCTTTCCCCTTTTTATTCCACACGGGCTACATGCCTATTGGCTGGTGCCACTCACACCAGGATGGTCTTGCATCTTCACTAAATGCACTAGTCACACCCACAGCGCTGCCAAACCAGTCAGCTGGGCAGTTCTTACTCAAGTTGCCCCAGCAGTTCACTGTCACACTGAGGCAGGATTGCCAGTTCAAGCCCAGAATGAGCAGTCTGTCAACTTAATGAGACCTATTTCATTAAAAAACAAAAACAGGGCTGGGGATGTTGCTCAGTATAAAAGCCCTGAGTTCAGTTGCTACTACTAAAAAGAAACATAAAAAGGAAAATGAAACCTGAGGTCCTGGAGCTGTGGGTGCTGAGGCTCCTGGTCCTGTCGGGACTGAGCTGGCTTCCCAGCACTGCTCTGTGGTCGCTGCTGCTCCATTGTGTTGCCAGTGGAAGCCAGAGACACCCTTTCCCTTGAGGCTGAGTCCGTACCTGTGCAGATTGAATTTCTCACATTTGCCTTCCCTGGAAAGGCTCTTCCTTGTTTTACAGATAAATGTACTAATTACCTTATTACAGCCACCTGTGGTTATTGTTTAATTTAACAACTATTTTGACTGCTGAACTGAGATAAGAAACAAACTTTCACTCATCTGCTTTGTAGCTTGTTACTGTCTTATCTGCCACTGATTTAGTGACTTTTTTCTTGGTAGTACTAGGAATTGAACCTGGGCATTTGCCTAGTCCTTTTATTATTTGTTTTGTTTTGTTTTGTTTTTTCCCGGTACTGGGAACTGAACTCACGACCTTGCGCTTGCCAGGCAGGCGCTGTGCCGCTGAGCTAAATCCCCAGCCCCTATTATTTTTTATTTTGAGACAGGGTTTTGCAAAGTCGTTAAATTCTTTAGGCTGAGCTGAAACTCATCATCCTGCCTCAGCTTCCCAGGGCTGGAATTACAGGCATGTGCCCCTATGCCTGGCTGACCTTGTAACTTTTTGAAAAGTCACTTTCTAGTTCTTAGTGGGGTCCTAAAGCTAGAGATACTAAGTGAGCACGTCAGGTTTTTTATCTTTAACTGAAAATGCTCTTATCTCTTTAAGCATTTGAGTATTTTTATCCTTACTTGCATATAAACTCTCATAATGTTAAGTATTTTGGTTTGTTTTATCAGTAACCAAATCTCATATGTAAAAATTACAGTGTTAGGGCTGGGGGTGTAGCTCAGTGGTAGGTCAGAGAGAGCACTTACCTAGCACAAAAGGGACCCTGGGTTCAATCCCCAGGACTGAAAAATGAACAAATAATTCTCACTCTTAAAAAAAAAATAGTGTTAATTTTTTTTTTTTTTTTGAGACAATGTATCACTGTTTTCCAGACTAGCTTTGAACTTAGCCTATGTAACTCAGGCTGGCCTCAAATTCGTGATCCACCTGCCTAAATCTCAGCTTTTTTTTTTTTGTTGTTTTTTTTTTCCGGTACCAGGAGTCGAACTCATGACCTTGCGCTTGCCAGGCAGGCACTGTGCCACTGAGCTAAATCCCCAGCCCAATCTCAGCTTCTTGAGTGCTGGGATTATAGCCATTGTGCCTGGCTTTAAATTTTTCAATGTTTTAGATTAAATTGTAGTGTTCTTTTTACTTCCTTCTTGTGTTGCCAAGGGTGGACCCAGGTGCCCCCCACTGAGCACTCCAGCCCCCCTTTTTTTTGTGGTGTATGGTAGGAACCCTTAAACTCTACTCCCTTACTAAATGTATACGTATTATCAAAATGTCACATGGACCCTATAACTTTGTAGAGTTTTTGTGTCAGTTGAAAATAACTTTAAAAAGATCTTCCTTAGCAGTGTGACTTGTACGTTACCTTGGGCTGTTACGCTGCACTGTGGGTCTCTAGAAGCCCCTTTTCCGTGGCTGGCAGTGTGTGCTCTGACCACCGCTGCTTGGCTTCTGGACCCCCTTGCCCGTCAAGCACCACACACCAGTGATGCCAGGGTTGGTGGACCTTTGTGTGTCTCATCTCTCTCCCCATAATTGCAGACAGCAGGATTTCTGCCTTTGTTAAGGCTGAATCCACTTCTTAAAAGCTGAAATACTTACAGACCACGTGTCGGAGGCTGATAATCCAAAACATTCCAGGAACTTACACAACTCAGTAGCAGAAAAGCAAATAACCTGATTTAAAAGTGAGCCAAAGACCCAGCGGAAGAAACTTTTAGAAGAGAGAAAATTCCCTTAATAAAAATGTTCTTCTGGTTATTTTGGATTAATTGCTATGACCTTATATAAAGTCTTATTTCACTAATCGATTTATTCTTTAGAGTACCAGTGCTGCTATAGCCCAAAGCCTTTTTTGGTGTTACCACAAAGCCTTGTTTTACTAATAATAGTCTTTGTGCCTTTACCTCTATTTTAACATCTATGGTTTTTTTAGAAAATACGAAATGACTGGCATATTTTGTCTTATCCATTTGTAGCATTAAGAGACTGTGGATTCTTAAATAGCAGTTTTGGGAATGATTAACGGGAAAGATTCTTTCATAGTTTACAGTATTTAAATGTTAACAAGCTGGGAATGGTGGCACACGCCTGTAATCCAGAACTCAGGAGGCTGAGGCAGGAGGATCCTTGTAAGTTTGAGGCATGCCTGGGCTACAGAAGTGAGCTCAAGGCCAGCCTGAACTGCATAGTAAGACCGGGTCTCAAAAAGACAAAAAAAAAAATAATTGAAGTGTAAATATTTTCTTATTATGAGAATGAAAAATGTCGTATGTTTTTAAGCCCAAATCCTAACCATCTTGATCGTATCATTTATTTCTTTATGATAGGACTGGTGTGTGATATCCATTGATCGTAGGACAAATACAGGGACTGCAGGTCAGCCTTTCCTAGGGTGCGAATGCTCATCTGTGCAGATGCAGCTGCAGACCGTCCGTAGGATCCTTGGAAAGCCCTGGGGCTGGCGGATGGCAGCCAGTGTGAAATACTCTGCTTCCTTTAAAGCAGTTATGCCGACAGAGTAGTGTTTCCAAGACTCGGCCCACAGTGAGGCGAAAATACTGTGCCCTCTTGTGGAAGAGTCACAAGTTGGTTTCTTTCTTTTTTTTTTATTTTAAAGAGAAAAAAATAGAAATAAAAATAAAACAGTTTCAGAACAGGCTAACAGAGTAACAATAAGTAACAGATTGCATGTTATAAAAGTTAGTTTCTATTCTTTCAGTGTGTGTGCCGTGCTGGCTGCTGAGCCCAGGGCTTCCATGTGTTGGGCCAGCACCAGTGCTCAGCCCCAGCCCCAGCTCTGTTGTTTGACTTTTTAATTTTATACCTAAATAAACTCTTTTGCTGTATTTGTGTTTTTATTATTTAATTTTATTAAAAAATCAGCTTTATAATCCCTAGTTTCATTTAAATAGATAAGGCCGTGACTGACTACTCTTCCCCTTTCTGGGACTTAAAAATTAATATTTCTTTTTCTTTTTAAATTAACTTTATTTCTCAATTGGTGCATTAAAAACATAACAGTTGGGCATGGTAATGCCCACACACCTGTAATCTCGCAGTGTGGGAGACTGAGGCAAGAAGATCCCAACTCAAGCCCAGTCTGGGCAATTTGGAGACTTAGCAAGATCCTATTGTCTAAAATAAAAGATAAAGTGGTGGGAGATAGCCCAGTGTGAAAGCCCTGTACTCACTCCTGCCTCCCATCTTATCTCTTACAACGATCATGTTTTGGAATTGTTTCCTTGTGCACATCCTAGATTCAGTGCTGATTATCACTAGTTTGGCATTTTAGTTGTTAGATTGGGAATAAGGACAAAGTTCAGTGCTCAGCCAGCACTGAATGTTGGTTTCAACTAGTAAACAGGGCTGCTCAGGGAAAAGTATAAGCGGAATTACAAGTTTGTAATGTTTTCTTTTTTTTTTTTTGAGACAGGGTCTCGCTATACAGTTGAGGCTGACTTTGAGCTCACTTTGTAGCCCAGGCTGGTCTCGAACTCGCAAGGATCCTCCTGCCTCAGCCTCCCAAGTGCTGGGATTACAGGCATGCGCCACCATGCCCAGCTCATAAGTTTGTAATTTAAGAACACAATCAATATCTTCCTGGTTATTCTTACTATTTTTTGTAGCACAACACATTACATATTTTGTACTGTAAATGTAAAACCAAAGTTTGAGTCACATATTATGGGAAATCTAAATAAATGAGTCAGTAAAGATTTCAGGAGTGGAGGGTGTTCTCTGGCTCCGGTGTCTGAGTGTAGAGACTGTGTGTTTCCAAGCTGTGTGCAGGAGCTGATCCCCTAAGGACTTTTGCAAAGTTACACTGAGTTTTTTTATTCCAGTGGTAAAATTTATTTGTTAAATACATTAATAAATTGTTCCATGGCTTTTCTCTGTATGAGATTCTTTTAAGCTTTCCTCATATTTTCAGATGAAGATTGGATTTTTAAAAGTGTTTTATATTCTAACTATAAAGACTTTATGATATGTACATGGGAGTTTGTTAATATTTGTAAGTTCTTAGGTAATAATGATTTTCTTTTCTTTTCTAGGTTTATTAAAGTTTTGCACTGTAGGATTTTGTGGAATTGGGAGCCTAATTGATTTTATTCTTATTTCAATGCAGGTAAGTTAGCTTCAGCCTGGAATGGAAGCTATGTTTAATGTGTTACTGTGTGTGTAGCTAAGTATATGAGGGAGCAGGTGGGAGCGCTCCTTTGGTTTCCCCTAAGAAGAGCGAAGGGAGTGTGGTTGTGTTACCAGTGTTTCCACATGTCCCAGGCTGTGACCCTGGAAGGCACGAGTGGCTCCTAGAAAACAGATGAGCACATCGAGTGCAAGGTGTTTCTTCCAGAGTGCCTGTAGCGTCTTCTGAGTGCACTGGCTCAGTTTCTCCTCCAGCTGTCTGCTCCCGACAGCCACGGGCCACTGTGGCAGTTGCCACACTAGGCGAGGATGGACTGGTGCGTGAGCGTGCTGCGGGGTGGAACTAAGTCAGGTGTCCCCTGCTGACCTTTGGTCAGGTGCAGGCACAGAAATGGAGACCTAGCAGGCTTAGGCCGTAGAGCACAAGGACGGTGTGGGAGCCTGCCAGTGTGCGGGGGTGTGGCCCTGCGTGCTCGGCCTGGAGGGGCTCGCTCATCTGTGTCCCCAGCAGCCGCACCTTCCCTGAGGCAGTGAGGTGCTGTCCCAAGGGCTGTGGGCGCTGCACCTGTTTTCTGCTTGGTTCACTGGACCGAGGGTGGTGAGGCCAGTGTGAGCGTCGGTTGGAGAAAGAAATGTGTCCCCCCAGCACCCTCCCCGCCGTCCGCACTGGGGGGCCCTGCTGTCCTCCTTGACGGCAGTAGTGCTGCTGCCAGCCTGTGTCCCCATGTCCCTGTGTGCGGCTCTGCTTCCCAGTGCGCACCCACGCCACACGCTGCAGCGTGGCTGCCGTGCAGTTCTGTGACCATCGTGCACCGAGAGGCCGTCAGTTGGGACCATACTGTGAGGAGGAGGCAGCATATGGACCAATAAGATGGCAGAATTAAACAAGGGAAATATTTGATTTCAAGTTGGAATTTTCCTGCCTTTGCTCTGAAACATATGCCCAGCCCAGCCCCTCCCGCTTCCTCTCGCTGGGCACGGACGGAGCGGGAGCGGCAGGAAGAGGCTGAGGGAGCTGTCACATATGCTCTGGAGAGGGCTTTGAGTTTTAGTGAGGATCCAGGGAGTGGAACGCGTCACAGCTTCTGCCAGTTCAGTTGGGACCTGGAGCGCCTGCAAAGGCCAACCTCCCAGTGTGTGTGTTTTCATGCTAGGTCCCTTCTGTGCTGGTAGGGCTTTGCTTTGTAGCTGCAGTTACTGCAGATTCTAGGCGGGTCCGGTGTGGGCCCATGTACTTACCATGTTCACAGCAGGTAGGTCTTAAAGAGTTCCTGAGGTTGCATATCTGGCGCATTGAAAGAGTACTGAGGTAGGGGCTGGGGATTTAGCTCAGTGGCAAAAGCGCTTGCCTGGCAAGCGCAAGGTCGTGAGTTCGGTTCCCGGTACCGGAGAAAAACCAAGAAAGAGTACTGAGGTAGAGATTGAGACTGAGTTTCTCCAGTGAATTTCCCTGAGGACATTTTCATGGGTGTGGCCAGTGGACAGCTTCAGATGCGGGTAAGTAAGATGTGTAGCTTTATTGTGCATGTTACTAGTATGTTTCACATGTGATATTGACTACGTCAGTTTTAGAGGAAAATTTTTTTCAGTAAATCAAAATTTTACTATAAAATATCTGTTAATATTTTTGTTGTGAATATAGTTTTCCAGTTTTTAATAGATTTTTTTGCATTTTTTGTTTAATACTTCTTTCCTTCTTTGTTTTCTTCATGTCTCTTTTTTTTACTTTGCCATTCAATATTACTCCCTTGTAACTAGCAGTGTTTTTCTGTTGGGCTCTGGTTCCAGAAACATTGTGCGTGGACTCGGACCTATAAAAACATTCTCAGGCTGAGGGTGTAGCTTGGTTTTTCTGGTTTTTCTTGGTTTTTCTCCGGTACTGGGAACCGAACTCACGACCTTGCGCATGCCAGGCAGGTGCTTTTGCCGCTGAGCTAAATCCCCAGCCCCAGAGGGTGTAGCTTGGTGGTAGGACCTTGCCTAACATGCACAAGACCTTGTGTTTGATCTCCATAAAGAGGGAGAAAAGAAATAAATCTTTGTTTTATAATGCGTATAACAATAATCTAGGAGTTCTGTGTACATCTTAGAACCAAAGCAATATAAAAGATAGTGTGCATATTGCTAGAGTAATTATGTTTTATATGGTGCTGTGTTTACTGAAATACTTGAGTTTATTTTTTAATAAACATTGGGAGTTTCTGTATTTTGTTCTGTGTATGTGCATGCATGGAGGTCGTGCCTGGGGACTTGAACTCAGGGATTTCATGCTGAGCTACCTCGCTAGACTTGTTTTTAGTTTGCGACAAAGTGTCACTAAGTAAGTTGCCCAGATTGGGCTTAAACCTGTGATACTTCTGCCTCAACCTTTCAGAATGCAGGGATTATAGCTTTGTACCACCATGCCTGGCTAAATATTTTGTTCATGAATCATGAACGGATGAAATAGTAAATAGAATGCAGTAAAAAAAAAAACACCCCAAAAAACCAAATCTAAGTCAGTGACACATGTAGCATGTGTGGTAGTCTTTCACCTCTAGGTAACTTGTAGAGTAAGTGAGTGAGAACATGTGAATGTGAGTGTATTTTGGCAGTGCTGGGGTGGCGCCCAGGGCCTCTCCTCTGAGGCAGGCATCCTGTGCGCTCCATTGCCAGCCCTTTTGTTTTGGTGCTTTGGGACAGGGTCTGGCTAGGCTGCTTAGGCTGCTCTCATACTTGTGAACCTCCTGCCTAGCCTCCCAAGTAGCTGGGATTGCAGTTGTGCACCACCATGCCTGGCTGTCTAATAGTATTTATAAGCCAGTTCTGAAGATTTGCAACACTCATTCTTTCATGCCCATGTATTTTTATGTACATCATGTGCTGCATAATGTTTTAGTCAACTCAAGTGGGTCTTGTATACGATGGTTCCCCTAAGATGATGATGGAGTTGAGAAACCCTGGTGCCTAGTGGCATCAGCGCTGTCCTAGTGCTGTGCTTTATGGCGTGTGTGGTGATGCTAGTGTAAACCTCTTACACTGCCAGTCATGTAAAAGTAGCACCAGAAATTGTGGACAGTACTCATATTTGATAAGACCATGTTTCTGGTTTGTATATTTACTATGGTATAGTTTGTGCCAGTATCAAGAGGGTAGTTCTGCTTTTCTACAAACCTACTAAGAAACAGTGAGCTGTGTTCTTTTAGCAGCAACCTCACACAACTTGAACGTTCTGTCTCTTGATCCCCTCAAGAGACAATGCAAGTGGGTGTCCTGTGCCATCCAGGTGTAATGTGTGCCCTGGTGCTCATGGGGACATCGCCTGAGGGTGAGCTCTGAGTGGGGGTGAACTGCGTAGCTGTGATCCGTGCAGGGTGGGTGAGGGGATGTAACAGGAAATTGGCACCGAGGCCTGGTGCACACAGCTGCGCGTCCCGGCCCCAGCCCAGGGAGGATTTCTGTCAGGATAAAATATTTTGATTGCATTTAAACTTCTTTCTTCACACACGCAATCTGGACATTTTAAATTATACCAAAATCACTGATGTGTACTCTGCCAAACAAAAATAACAATTTTTTCTGTTATTAGAAATGAGACAGCCACAACCAGAAAGATGAGTCTGGGCAGAGAGAAACAGTTGTATGTGTTAGAATGCAGAAAGTAGTTTGAAGAACTGTGTCTGTTTTTTCGTTGAAATTTAAAAAATTATGTGTATCTTGGGAGAAATTATTATTCTCTTCATTCCTCTTGATATTGCCAAGTAGATTTCTTTAAATGACTAAAACTACATAAGCAGCAGCAATTTGCAAAAGCGACAGAATCTCTAGGTTGTTTATGAATTTTGTAAGTAAGCTTATCAAATTTGTAAAATACGTCTGAGGCGTTTAAATATCTCCCACCTGAGTACTGGCTTGTCTGTTGCTTTGGTTTTTCTGTTTGTTCAGTTTTTTAGCTTTTACACACTGCTTGATTTCTCATGTATGAATTCGGTGAGGAGAAAGTCTTCTGAACCCCTGATGCCCCAGCGGTGTGCACAGTGTGGCCTGCTCAGTTCTTGCTGCAGGGGTGTGGACGCAGTCTCCTGGGAAGTGGGGCTGTGGCCAGCACGAAGTGGGAGGCGTGGAGGAGAGGCCAGAAGAGAGCTCGAGGCTTAGGAGCCCTGTGGGCTGCGGTGACGGAGCACCCCAGACCGCGACACAGTGCATAGCGGGACGGTAGTGGTGGTGAAGTCCCAGGTCGGTGTCCTGTGTCCTCAGTGGCGGGCGGGGGTGGACTAAGCTCCCTGGCCTCTTCTAGGTATGAGGTCACCCCCACGACATGACCACCTCCTACCGCTTCGTTCTGGTGTGCCGGGGATTAATCTTGCACATAGGGATTGTGGGGGGACTCAGACCGCAGCAGGACCTTAGACCAGATTGCTTCACAGGATTGCTTGAGAAGGGTGAGTGAAACTTGAGGTGCTGCCATGCAAGATACATGGTGGGTTTTATGCCACCACTGGAGTGGCACTGCTGCCAGCTGAGGTGTGAGCTAGGTTTTCCCTGAGCACTTGGTCAAACTGTCCCATGACTAGTGTGAGAGTAGACCTCACTTACCTGAAATAACAATTTGCTTTGGAACTGCAGACTTAAAAAAAAAAAAAAGGAGCTTGCTTTTTGCTACGTGTGATTCTTTTGGATTTACTAAAACTTTAAAAAGCCTAGGCTTTCCCTTGAGGCCGAGGTGAGCCATAGGCTGCCTTCTGGGTGGCCAGTGTGCTTTGTCGGGGGCCTTGCCCTTGTCACGTAGGTGTGATGGGAAGGGGGCTGCACGTGTGAGCCCTGCGCCTGCCAGTCCCGCAGAGCTGGGCAGGGGTCACGGCACCCTAGTGCTTGTCCGCTCGTGAGAGCAGAGGGCTGTTGGTAAACGTGACGTCTTGCCAGTGGCTCCCTGCTCCCTAACTACTGTGACGGATTGGGAAACGAACTGGAAAACGGAAGTCACTGTTCATCAGTGTGGGG